GGCTCGTTATACTATCGCTGTTTCTGTTCGGCGTGGGAACGGCTGCCAAACAAGTGAGCGGTTACTCACATGCACTCAACTATTGCATTGAAAACCGCGGGTTTGGCAAAAACAAGAGCACCTATGGCTTGGTGTCCGGCCTATTCTTCTCGTGCATATCTTTAGGCGGTTTTATGGGCCCCACAATCGCCGGTGTCTTCGTCCAGAACTTCGACTTCAAGTTCGCCACTCTTGTCATGTTTGCCATCGAAGTCATCCTATTTGTGGTCCTTTTGTTTTGTTGTATCACTAAAAGGACTAAAGTTTTGTGATTATAGATATTGTGCATATAGTTAATAAATTGCTCAATTAAATTTAATTTGTATTTTAATCTCAAATAAAGTTGTCAAAAGTTTTTCTGTATAATTGAATTCAATTATGTAGTGATTGGCCATCTGTTGAGTGGTTATTATACTGAAATGCAAACAAATAACTCATATGAATGTCAATAGGAGTCACTAGTAATGATAAATGATTTACATTACGTCAATATTTACAGGAAATTATGAGTCAAACAAATATGCCGTTCACTGCAATACAAGGGAGTTATTTGTAAAATAATTGCCTTCAATACCACATAATAGTCCACAAAAGGGGCAGAAATGGGAATCCCAGCCCCGATAAGTCTATAACGTTGTATGTGTTGTGTTGACTCATATGACTCATTGGGTGTTGTTTTTGGCTGTAGTTTGCCATCAGATAAGAGATTGTGATTTGAATTGTGTCCACAATTTAATTGTATTGACTCTTGGGATCAGTTACCACATCACCGACAATGCCTTCATATCACTCGACACTCGCATCAAACAAATCCATTGCAAACATATCTTTGCTCACCTTTCGGACCAAATTCAGGGGACCCGTCGTGACACTCAATTCAGACCACTGTTTGTCCATTTGTTTGATCTGATTGTGGCGTTTGTGTCCACACTTTGATCAACCATTTAATGTCTTTGTTTTGTTTGCGTGTCTTGTAGTGGGAAAAGACGACTTGAATGGCGTAGACATCGTCGATGAGGCCATACTTTACTTTAAGGCCAACGTCTTCTTCAGTTCGTACGAAATCCAAGTAATATTTGTCACCATTTGGTGTCTCATCGATGGTTAATGTCTTAAGAGTACTGACGAAGTATTTGTGTTGTCTTTCAGAGCGACGCCGACCGTCTCATCATTTATTTGACACTTTATATCATTGAATGTCTTAAGAAGATCCAAAGGGTTTGTCAATTGATTGCCAGTGTCTTGAGATGTGAGCCATGAGTGTGTGGTATGTCTTTGCAGTGCAATAACAAGAACGCTGCGCTCCAAGAGTTGGCTCAGTTGGCGATCAGTCGCTTCGACATCCCGGGTGACCCCAAGTTCCCACTCAACTCCGTGTTTCAGAAGCCCAAGAATGGTGATGAAGCAGGTCTGCCACCCGTATCACCTGATCAGTGGTCATATGATTAGTAATTGATGTGTTTGTGTGTGTCTTAGAGCTGATGCGGTCATACATCCAACAGTTGCGACAGGAATGCGGTCAACGGTTAGCGAGCCGTGTGTTTGACACCGACAACGGGCCGCCCTCTAAGTGGTGGACCTGTTTCGCCAAAAGGAAGTTCATGAACATCAACCTCGCGGGACCCGGCAATTGATTCCTACCATTCATACGATAATTAAATTAATTTCCAATTATTGACACTTTTGTCACTGATATCTAGTATTTAATCCGTTAGTGAAACTGTAATTTTCTATATTATTCCATTAAATGAGTATTTATTGAAATGTTTTTAATTATGGTTTTTAATTAAGAATGTTTTTTATATTCATTCCAATTGTTATGATCAAGATCACAAATTGAATTTATATTTACACCTTTTAAACATTACTTTTTACTCGCAATTCAAGTTTGATTATTGAAATTATAATAAATTCTATATTCTATTGAATTTTGTTGTTTATTTCAAATGATATGATTTATGAACAAAATTATTACAAATTTAAGTCTTAAGAAGTGGTACAAGAATTATGATACAAGTATATTTACCGGTATGTTTTATGGTACTGTAGAGTAATTTTATGCAATATTACGATTGGTCATTGTCTAATTTTTAATTACTGTAATACAGTATCGGTATATTTTTAAATTATTACTTTTTATTTAACCACAAATTTAATATCAAGAATTATACTGCAGTGAGAATTATACCAGTACTGTATACCGGTTATTAATAATGTCCCGGAAATGAGCCTCATTTGATTCTCATCAGGAAATTAATTGCAGAACTTATCTGCCGTTTCATTGAATCAATCAATACTATACTTCAATTAATTTCAACATTATTCATAAGAATTATTTAGTCTGCACTCAATTTTGCTAAATAAAATGTTTACAAAACTTATGATGAACTTATCAATCCTAATTCTATAAATTAAATAAACTTTTAATTATTAATTTACACTGTAAATGTTACTAATATATTGTACACTGTATATATTGGAAATAGTTTATATAAACTACAATTACTAATCAAAATTAAGTTATGTTATTAATATAATAAAATATTGTACAATCACGATAGGATTATAAAGTATCAAATAATATTAATTCCGTATGTGATTAAACTTTTAAACCAACATTTTTGTTCAAAACTATTAAACATTTTTCTTATTTTGACAATTATACAGTACTGCTCTCAAAAAAATATTTGTATTGAAATTGA